ACACGGCTTAAAGTCCCTCCCGGAGGACTTGTTCCCTGAATTTGTCCGCCCTTAAAAATTCCACGACCTCCGCTGGGTTTGAACCCGCGTACCTTGAGTCATGAGGTGGGAACGTTACCCCTAGACTACAGAGGCCGCTTTAGCCAGAGAGTAACGCGGTTTATGTAGAGATCTGATTCTCCTGCTGCGTTAGTTTCTATTCGTTTCTATGTTAAGTGGAGAAAAGAACACGTAAATGGGACGTCATATCAGTCCGAGAACACAGTTTGCACTGAGCCTGCTGCCGCAGTCTAATTGCAGAGCAGGTATGTGGGACAGTGACACTTGTACCGACCTTGACATATAGTGTTTACGCGCACTGGTGTTCAGCAGTCCTCATTTACACTAGTTTACGCAAACTTCATTGGGACTCATAACTCAGCTACACGGCTATACTTAGAAACGTAGTAACTTTTAAGAACAAGAGTTGAGTATAAAACATGGGATTCTTACACGTAAAAAGTAAGAGTAAAGCTGTCCCTGTACCAGGCCGTGAAGGCCCATAGGGTTGTGAGACGTTGAGGGTCCCACATTATCTAGACAATCGGCTCAAAGATGGCGGTAAGGTTGTCAGCCTTACGCACCGGCCGCGCTTTACTCCTCAGGAAAATTATTTAATTAATTCCTGGTATTCATTTCTGTTAGAGGCTGAGTAAACCCCAGGGCCATAGTGCGGCTGGAAGGATTAGGTCAGTTGAAAAAATCCAATGACCTCATCGGGATTTGAACCCGCGACCTTCCGGCTTGTAGCATAGTGCCTCAACCAACTACGCTACCGCGGTTCTTACACAACAAGGGTGAATATTAAGATTACGATGTTTTGGAAAATGACGCCGTGTTTTTTTCTAGATCGGTTCAAATATTTCGGAGGAACCTGTTCCCTCTATCATCTGCTCTGAAGATGAGAGTAACACATTCCTGAAGAATGGAGTACGTACTCAGTTTCCAGATCCAGTCATAATGATTTTGTTTCACCCATTGGTTCACAGGTCTACTCATTTACTACAGCATAAAATGTTTTGTCCTCAGATTTGTTCACCAGGAGAACAGTACATTGCACAGAAGTAAATGACTTTGTATTGAGATTTTGTTAAACAGGGGCTACACGACATGTAGAAAAATTGATCTTAATGAGCTCTGTATTTTCTTGTGTTCCCTATGTTGTAACGTACCCTCGTTTTCGAGGGATTCAGTAATATTATACTTGAGACTGAGGCAAATCTGGGATTATGATGGACGTATACAGAGCAAACTGGAATTGCCGTAGTTCTCCCATACGAAGTTATGTACGTATATGCGGATGGGTTAAGTATACAGGACTACAGATGGACATTATGTCGCACTAATTACAAAAGAACCTTAAATATACGTAGTACTAGGGTTGAAATAATAATTGTAACCTTTTAGATAGCCATGTAACTACGTTCCTAGCAGCATTCCAAAAGGAGTGGGTTCACAGAGCAACAGTACTGGAGTCTTCCTAGCTTCTGCAGGCGTCTTCAGGCTTCCCGCAACACATAAAATTTCCGCAAAAATAGCCTCACAGTCTCTTCACGTCGGTAGGTCTGTATTCCAGCTTAGATCGGGTTTCGGCATATAACATGTTTTATTTCTATTTGGAGACTTCGACCATCAATTTTTGAAGCCAAATATTATTCAGTATTACTGGGGTTTCGGACTTTGTCCATCGTCCGGTATTCTAAAAGCTAGGAAACACAACATTTCGGAAACTGGATCTGTTTCCTTCCTCAGGTGAGGGTCCCTTAGAAAGAACCACTGGACAACCCATGTCAGACTCGCTACAGTTATTTAAATACCAGAGACCAGGCTGTGTCACACGGAGATGATAGGAAAATATTCGATAAAAATTGCGGTAAAGTACTCATATTCATGGAGAGAGGATAGAAAGGGAGGTAAAAATGTATACTACAAACTTAACCAACAAATCAAGTCCTTGAACACCAATGCATAGAATTAAATGGAGAATTTGTGAAAACATATAATGCCGACCACTACACCATCGTCAGAACCCTTTAGAATCTCCAAATATTATTTTCTCGTGGATTTTATATACTCTCGAAATCTGGATAATGCGTACCTTACGTGAGAGAAGACCATTTTCGAAGAATTCTATCTTCTTGGATTTGACGGTGCCGTGTAGTCTGTTTAAAGTCAACCAACGTTTCGGAAGAAATGCCACCTGCATTTTCAGGTTTCAGGAGTGAACGGAGCAAGAAACCAGCAGGAAGCAAGCAGACGAGAGCACCAAGCCTTCCTCACCGGGCACCCATTAACCCTGAGTCTCCTTGCCTCCCTCCGCTGAGCTTGCCATTCTATTCCCAATCGCATCCCTACGCCTCTGCTTCCAATCTGATTCATGCTGGTTTCTTGCTTGGCTTGCTCTAAACTCTTAAAATAGTGGCGACATGGTCCTCTGAAACTTTGATTGTCTTGTAAAGAAATAAACGACGTTGCATCCAAGAAAAAACAACTCCTCATAAGGATCGCGACGGGAAGTTCAAATCCTACAAGACCATTTTCCTTTCACGCGTGCTGATTCTAGAATCATAACTGTCTGCAACAGTGTCCGCGCATTTGCACGAAGGGACTCGCACAGGAAAATAGTTGGTTGCAGTGGATGTTACTAAGTTCGCTAAACGGGTAAAATCCGAACTTGTACTGTCATCAGATAGGAGAGAGAAGCACTGCTGGGCCAGGAAAAGATGGTCGGAAGATGGAATAGACGAAGAGGCCTGTACTTGGAACTGCAATGAAAGAAAACGAACAGCACGATGACGGAAGCGAAGATGGAGGTGATAATGGTTTCCGAAACAGAAACGGTAATTCATAACAATGGAAATTAATTAAATAAAATCTAAAAGTTTGCGACGATGGTATATTATTACAAATACTATGTTCTTGGACATCATCCATCGTCCTGTCTTTATCGGAAAAAAAAAAATGTTCTGTTTACATTTCAAAACACAACGTTTCAGGGACTGGATTCTGTCTCTGTCTTCAGGGAAAACGTACTCAGTTTGGCCAAATCGATAGAGCTAGTCCCCATCTCCGGACAAGTTACCTGATATGGAAACTGAAGTTATATACAGAGTGATTCTAAATTATTGTCGGGTTTTCCTTTCAATGGCCACGGAAACCCCGACAAATAATTTAGAATCGTCCTGTATTACCATATTAGGAGCCCATCATTGGATTTTATCCTGAGCCAGTTTAGTCCAGTTGATAGCTCACAATCTGTTTCTTTAGCGTTCACTTTAATGTTTTACTCCCATTTGGGCTCTTCGCTTGAGATGTTGTAAACAAATCGTTGTACTGATTTCTTGTTTCCCCCATGTGTCAGGTATGTCCCTTCCCTCATATTTCTTGATTACTCAAAGAATGTGAAGTGAATAATGTACATCGTGAAGCCCCTCATTAAGTAATTATAATAATTAAAATAGATACAATGAGATTAGTCGCTTGTAACGGTGATGCCCCGAGAAGCGACCAAGTTGCCGTGTCGTCAGTCGTGTGCTGCAGGTAGTTACACTTAGTGGAGAAGCCGCGGTCGGCCAACCGACAGAGGGAGTCACTCCTTTCTCTTCCTGCTGTTCGCAGCGGTAAGCGTTCGAAGAGGACCGCTCGCTCAGTCTCGAGTCGCATGGCTCAGTGGACTCACCTACGGAGGTGCACTGTTAGGACATCGAACTGGGAGGAGTGACTGCACTGCTGCAGTCTAACCGTACAGAATCCAATAATATCCGCTGTGTTGAGAAGAGCAAAACTTATTTGGTTTTCTTTTACATTCTGAACTTTTTCTACTTCGGGAAGTGAATTGTGAGACAATACTTTATAACACACACTGGAACGGAAGTGACCCACAGTTACTAACCTACCAGTTAAGCGTTTTGTGCAGTTTCGTCCTATACTAAAGAGGCCTGTAACATATGTGTATATATTATATTTAGATAGTGAATATTGCTTGTATCCGTGACAAACTTTCGAGAAGGGAAAGTGGGTCAAGTTTGTGTGTGATGAGAAAGACGACGTGACAATTAGCAGCGTCTCTCAGTGACTCATGGCCCAGGCTGCTGTCATTCGTGCACAGCACAGAGCGAGCCAAAAGGTGAGCAATTAGACCTAATTACAGGCTTACAGCTGACTTTTCGATCAAAGAATTTAAAGTTGTGAGGCATATGAACGCATTTTATTAATTATGATATTTTGTTTAAAAGCTTCAATCTCTCTTCTAAATTCCAAGTGAAGAAAGTCTGATTTCAAAGTACCATCGGATTTCAAAATCGCTATTAGAAATATAAATATTATTCACTGTCAGCAAGAGCATATTCATTTGGATGAAGTGGCTAATGACACCTTCCACTGTAGTAGGGCTTTTTGAAAGATTGTAAACTGTTCGGGTTTAAGTAGTTACTATAGGATTCTGACGATGGTGTATAACACACAGAGATATTGGGTTTTCGGACTTTATCGATCGTCCTGGTTTTAAGATAACTAAGAAAAACACGACGTTTCGGAAACTGGATCTGTTTCCGTCCTCAGGTGAAGGAAAACACCTATTCTGTTGGGTCCCATAGAAAGAGCTAGCCTCACCTGAGGACGGAAACAGATCTAGTTTCCGAAACGTCGTGTTTTTCTTAGTTATCTTAAAACCAGGACGATCGATAAAGTCCGAAAACCCAATATCTCTGTGTGTTCGGGTTTAGCTCTTGACGGAAGAGTTTTATATTTCCTGTTTGCATATATTCTTGTATTGTTTGTTTTTCTTTTTTTATTTTGTTTTGCAGAAATATCTAAAAAGCAAGTGAATCTCCTGAATCATGGACTTAATCACCTTGTTCCCACAATATGCAAATGTAATTTGTTTTGTTGGCATAATTAGCGACAGTGTCACCGCCCCAGAAATCATGTTGTGTTGAATGCAGCTTGAACATATCACATATAATGAACAGGGAAGGTAACGCAGTGATGTCCATAAGAAATTGAGGCCTTGTCTGACAGGGTAAGCGATTCCCCAGCTGATAAGTAACTGCTCGCGCCTTGGGTGAACTTACCCCACGCGTTGGTCGCCACTTGCGCCTGTCTGTCTCTGACTTGACGTCACTTTTTGACTTCCTTCACTTGTATCGTTTTTCTGGACTCCTTCGCTGAAATTACGCTGCACTCCTTCCCTGTCTCGTGGATGTCGAGAAGTTATGTGGGAACGAAGGAGAATTGTGGTTGCTGGTGTCAGCAGGCAAGGGTTCTTTTCCTGTACGATTATTAAAGTGTCTCGCAAGTAGGGAAAGTCGGGAGTAGCTGAGTTCTGCTCCGTAATGGTAGAGATGAGTTCGTATCTAGGGTCGTACGGGCCTGACTGGGGCAGGGCTGGAAGATCCTTAGGCTACTGTCACATACACCACTACAAGCAACTTTGCACTTTCAGTAATTATTTACTTAACTTTAGCTAACACTGAGCATAACGGAAACTCAAATAGTTTACACTTATGTGGATTGAACTTGTACTACTTCTAGGGAAGTGACGTAGTTTTTGTGTCTGCATTGGCCGAAAGTTGTATGAAGACTCCTCTTTCGTAGTATGATCTCTCTGAATCCTGAGGTCCACGAACCAAATCATCCAAGAGAAATCCATTCCTCCAGCATGTGCAATTGATCTAATTTGACAACTAGGAGGTTCCATAAATTAGTGAATTTCCAATCATGTTGCTTTGTTATGTGATTCTGGCAGTTACTGACTTAACGCTAAGGTTGACAGCGATTTGATGTATTAAGATCAGGGGATGAGGCTCTGGCCCTCCCACTTCTAAGTTATAGCCGACTGTCAGCTCTCCAATTCCCAAAGACTTTCCGACTCTGCTGAAACTGCCAGAATTCCAGGAAATGTACCAGATGTTACTTCCTGTCCACATAGCAAACTTGAACTATTGTCACCTCTCAGTATAGAAAGGTGGCTCTGCCGGATCTTTTGTTTGTATATTGCATGATCTTAACTGAAGACAATTGTAATTAATACGAAAGAGTCCAGCAATTTATATTGAACGGTTACAGCTATTCGAATCGAGCACGTTCAGAATACGAACATGAAAGCGCTATGCTAACCTGCCAAATATTGAATTTCGTGTTTCACGGAGTTTGCTTCCGGCCACGCCGTGTCTGTGTCATGTGTTGCCCCTGTGAAGAATGCAGCGAGTGAGTAGATATGATAGGAGGCCTAACCCTGGCTATTTCATATTTATATGCGTTCCGTCAGATTCACTGGATATGTTGCAAGTAAATTTGTGAATTGTGAACTGGGATCGAACGTCGTGATTCAGTGCTTAGTGCTGCTACATTGTACTCATCGCGTCTCGGTTTCGATCCTCAACTCGGCGATCAGCTGGCTAAAGTTGCTCAAGTTTTTCCTTAGCTCCATCAGACATTTACATATACAGTTTCTTTAAGGCCACTACTGTTTACCTCCTTTCATAATTCAGTGTCATCCTCCCATTGAAGCCCGAAGCAACCTTTTAAAGCGCCTTCAAATGGAAACCAAGAATCTGCTAATCACGAATTCTATCGATGGGACGAAGGGGAATGAGATGGCCAGGTTATGTAGCACGCATAGGGAGAAATGGATGCATATAGGATTTTGGTGGGAAGGCCAGAAGGAAAGGGACGAGTAGGAAGACCTAGACATATATGGGAGGATGCTAAATGAATCTCATAGACTGGACTAGACTGGATTTGTCTGACTCAGGATAGGGACCAATGGAGCAAATGTGAACACGTTAATGAAGAAATTCCTCAGTGATTGAGCAACTGGGAACTTCTCAAAATGAGTTAGTTATCTCAGTATTTCCTAGAGGGATTAAGCAAACCCAGGAAAGACCTCAGACAGTTGCTAGGTCGCAATTTGAATTGTTACCAGCCATAAGAGGTTTGAATGCATTAGTTCTATATCGTCACTTCTTAAAGAATTAGCTAACGATCGCGATAAAAGAAAAGGAAATAGTTGTTAGCATGTATTCGACCAAAATACCAAGTTGTAGAACCTTTAGTGTCTTGTGGAGGCTAAGTAGAATTATAAACGTTTGCTTTACATTTTCTTTACCATTCTGAAAGAAAGCGAAATTACTTAAGGTAGCGGCTATAATATAACGACAATCAAATACTTGAAATTTATGAACGTTGTAGTCCTGATACTACATTGTACTAGAGAAAGTTACATCCCATTGGAGCTATCACATCGAGATCTCAAACTTTCTCTGTCCTTCCAATTCCTCCTTTCAGTGGTATTCTTATGCCACAAGCATATTTTTATTACAGGATGCCTGGAACCTAACCAAAAACGTGGATTTATTCTGTTTTAGAACATCACGAAATATCGTAAAACCAAACATTGTTCACTCCTGTGGCGTAATGACTGGACATGAGCCACCCAATCAGAAATACTGTTACATTTTTGATCGGCTGAAGAATTGTTGAGGAAGTTTAAAGGTGTCTGTAAGAAACACAAGAATTCTTGGCTTTCCTTAGATATGACAAGGGCCAATAGAAAACGACGCCTCCAACTATTCTTCGTTGGCGCGGCAACGTCTTTACCGAGTTGTTACTTAGCTGCAATAGGAGGATATACAGACACGCGTCCAACAAGTCTTCTATTGTTACCTGTATTCGTTGCCGCGGGAACATGTTTATCGAGCCTTTGCTGCCGACGATAGGATGGATACAGATACAGACACAGAATGAAGGGAACGATTTATGAAGTACGCCGCTGAACGGGCTCAGGCACCATGATGTACATAGCATGTTTTTTAAAGACTAGTTCAGGCATTCGATAGTTGCTATGCGGGGGATTCACAGGCACACAGGTCGCATAAGCCTGTTTTAGGGAAATAGGCTAACAGAATACGTTCTGATCTTGACAGAAGTGGGCGAAGTTGTGTGGTGGTCATAAGAAGTCCAGTTTCTGGGCCCACATAGTCACAGGTTTACCTTCTAAATTTTAAAGCTGCGGTTTATCACAGTACAGGGTTAAAGAAATGTGCGAGATATTATCACGTGTACATCGTATTAGTGACTTTAGACGCGGGTTTGGATTGGCGAATCGGTTTATTGGATATACACTAGTAACTACAAATTATTTATAACATTTTCAAGATTATTATAATTATAACACATAAATAAAATCTTATATATTTGCTTTAACTAGTCGTTGCTGGGCAACAGATCTAACCAATGGCTATTCCTTTGCAAAGTTTTCCCCTCTCCGTTTGCTGGGAACTGATTTTAACACAGGAACTGTAACTTTCACGCTCCACATAGCGCTGCACTGCAGCACACGTTAAGCCCTTACTGGCCCTCCTTCTGATTCTTGTTCAAGTGGCTATGTCCTACCGGAAATTGACTCTCAACTGCTCAGTCTAATTCTGTCAGTTGCTGGTTCCAGTTCGCTTCGATCCTAGAGCAGAGCAGAAGCTTATTGCCGGCTATCAGCCTGCACAGTCACTCCTGGCATCGGGCCCCGCTGGGACCCATGGCCATATTTTGGTTTAGTGTCTAGACCTTTCTTTTTTCCCTCTTCGTTGGTCCTCCTTAATAATAAAAAGGAGGGGTTGGTCTCTTTTTCTGAATTGGTGTTCACTTTCTACTCCTTATTCCACCTGAGGTTACATTATTCTCGCAGGGGTAAATATGTGACATACATTTTTCTTTTACATTCTACACAAGTATAAACTGAAATTAAATTCTAATATGTAGAGGGACATCTGTTAGCGCAGAAATGTGTAGCTGCCTATGCATCAATTTATTTAACACTTCGAAACGGCAGTTAGACACTTGATGATCGTAGGTTTGACCGCCGCCAAGTTTAAGCCTCTTATATTTCCTATGTCTGGCTTCTCCTTGTCCAATTTCACATACGTTTGGATTTTCATTATCTAGGATGACATCTGCCTCCCTCCCGCTTATTTTACTTATGTAATCATACACATACGGTATCTTGAACACCAAATGCAAATCGCGGACTGGGGTGCGCCTGTTAAGTTTGCCAGTAGCGCGGAGAACTCTGTTCTACAAGCGCTGCAGTTTCATCAAATGAGTGTCCGCCGTAAACTCCCAGGTGAGACA